TCAGAAAGATAGGACTTAAACCACAGACCACAGTGACAGAAACACCAAAAACAGATCAAGTCAACAGAACAGATCAACTAAGATCAAGAAGAATTAAAATAGAGAGGCTGCCGGAATCAGAAGCTATTAACAAGTCATTAGTAACCTTAACTAATGCTGTCTCAGTGCTGTGTAGTTTACGGAATCCTGATTGAAGAGGCTCATAGAGATTATTTGCAGCTAGATGGGAGTGCAATTGAGTAGCAACAATTCGCTCTAAAATTTTGGCAAGAAAGGGAAGATTGGAAATGGGACGGAAATTATTTAGATTGTCAAATCTAAATCTGTCACACAAACATTCCCATAGGCACCTCTGGTATGAATACAGGCTAAAGGTTATTTCGGTTAAAGCATTTTTAGGGAGGGACATAAAACGATTGTTACAAACAATACCAAAAACATTTATACATTAGAAACTGCATGGGAGATGAAACATCAACACTAAAAGGAGAACTTTCTTGAAGAACGTCACCTTCATAAAAACCCGAAAACAGGAAGTAACACGTACAAATGCACACATCAGTGTTAAACAGCATAAAGATTCAGGGATAATTCAGGGTTTTCTAAGTATTTATTTAAAAATAAATAATTAATAACACTTTAGTAAGTACATGTTAATTCATTTTACTTTGTACTTAAATGTATAATATCACAAATTTATAATAAATGTTTCAAATAAGCCACATTTTTTGAGCCCATTATTTTTTTGGACATCTATATACGTTAGAAGAACAATTTTTATATATAAAACCTTAAAGGTTTCTATTAGGCGCTTCATGTAGGGGTTCCCATCATGGGTTTATTTTATGTATTTAGTTTTAATGAATTAATTTTGTATTAATTCATTTTTTAAATTTGATTAAATTGTATGAATTAAAAACCTTGTAAACACTTTTTATCACAAAAAATAAAATAAAATAACCAATTAAACGTAAGTATTATGCCAATATTTAAGACAATTCTCCTAATTTAGAACCTCATTTGACTGTAGAGTGTTCCCTAAAATTCAGTCAAGATCCTCAGGGTTCTAGAATCCCATTCAACCTTTTTTTTTTTTTTTCAAAGAGTGTTGATTTGTATGACTTTACCTGTAATGCTGTACATGTAATATTAACAATATTATTTATTTATTTTATTTTTTGCATCTTACTGAAATAGTAAAGATTCTGAGAACAGATTAGCATCCAAGGAACTTTACTCAACACCAAACTGACACCATGAAGCCTATTTTCATTTTATTGTTACTTTAGGCAACCGTTCCCCCGCCTCCCTCCCTCCCTCTCAGTGTCAGCAAGAGCAGGGGGCTGGACTGCACTCACAAAACTCTTACTGACACTTCAGGCTTTTTCAACATTTAGAGTCAGCGAGAAAGACACAAGACCTACTTTGGGAAGCAAGATTGAGAAAAGGAGGCATTCAAATAAAAAAGCCACACAACTTATGTTTTTTTTTCTAGATAGTGAGAGGAAAGTGAAGAGTCTAGCCCTGCATGGAAACAGAAGATAGTTGGTGAGGAGCCTGAAGAAAGACGACCTTTGAAGAGTCTCAAGACTTTTCTTGCATGGGATTGATCAGGATCAAATCATTATCTGTTTTCATTTATTTTTTATTTTATCGGATTTTTCATTTCTCGTTCACTCTTTGACCATAAGGAACATGTATCTGCTGAGTCTGGGTGAGTCACACTTCAGATCTTTTTAGGATTGAAGTTTCCACAGATCAATGTAGTAGTGATGGGGACGAGACCGCCAATGCCGAGTCTTTGAAGGGTCGAGTCCGAGTCGAGACCGAGTCTTTGAAGGGTCGAGTCCGAGTTGAGACCGAATCTTTGAAGGGTCGAGTCCGAGTCGAGACCGAGTCTTTGAAGGGTCGAGTCCGAGTCGAGACCGAGTCTTTGAAGGGTCGAGTCCGAGTCGAGACCGAGTCTTTGAAGGGTCGAGTCCGAGTAGAGACCGAATCTTTGAACGGTCGAGTCCGAGTAGAGACCGAATCTTTGAAGGGTCGAGTCCGAGTCGAGACCGAGTCTTTGAAGGGTCGAGTCCGAGTCGAGACCGAGTCTTTGAAGGGTCGAGTCCGAGTCGAGACCGAGTCTTTGAAGGGTCGAGTCCGAGTAGAGACCGAATCTTTGAACGGTCGAGTCCGAGTAGAGACCGAATCTTTGAAGGGTCGAGTCCGAGTAGAGACCGAATCTTTGAACGGTCGAGTCCGAGTCGAGACCGAATCTTTGAAGGGTCGAGTCCGAGTCGAGACCGAGTCTTTGAAGGGTCGAGTCCGAGTCGAGACCGAATCTTTGAAGGGTCGAGTCCGAGTCGAGACCGAATCTTTGAAGGGTCGAGTCCGAGTCGAGACCGAGTCCGTTGGTTTTCAAATACAGTGGAGTCCGAGTCAAGACCGAGTCTTTGAGGAAGCAAGTCCGAGTCGAGATTTTGTCAGTTTTGATATTCATGATTTAATATCACCCCATTTAATAATCAACAGTTAGGCCTACAGACTAAGCTAGATTGGGAATTGTTTAGAGGAGCAGTCTTAACTAGTGATGGGGACGAGACTGCCTATGCCGAGTCCGAGTCAAGACCGAGTATTTGAAGGAACAAGTCCGAGACGAGTCCGAGAAGAGTCCGAGACCGGACTCGAGTACTACATCACTACAATGTAGAGACAGATGTTTGTATGGAGCCACTGTGTGGTTTTGCTAACTCAAACGTTGCCCTGCCAACAACTGCGTAATTGCTGCTGTTTTAAAAATAGAGAAACAGCAAATGGCCACGAGAGGAAACTGCCACAGATAGGAAAAACTGATGTCACAATGGGGTAGTTTTCGTGTGAATCAGGGTCCATGAGCTCTAGTTATCTGGAAAGCACCAGATGAATGTGAGTGATGAATAGAGAAGAAGCAGAGGGTTCTGCTCCGGTTCTCGTAGTCTTAAGACATTCAAGAGTTTGGAAAACAACCGTGAAGTAAAATAAAAGAAGGATCAGATGTAGGTCTGGTTATTAGCACATGATTTTGGGCAAGAGATTGAAACAAGGACTGCTGTATGCAAACATGAACCTTCAAAGACACTGACATAGTAAAATCACAATAGTGTGAGTTCAGTATGGGATGTTGTGGGACAATAAGTGAAACTGGGTGTTGTTTAGCTGCGTTAGTTCAGCCAAATATGACAATTCTGTCATTTTTTACGTACCTTCACTCTTATGGGTTCTTGAATAAATTTTAAAGAACCCTTTATGCTAAAAAGGTTCAATATAAGGAGAAATATTTGCATAATACTTTCATGTTTAACAGGTTATTTAATTTGTTCTATTAATGAAGTTTGTTTACGAGCTAATTAATTCATAAAATGCAATTAAAAAAAATATTTAAACAATTTATTAAAAACTAAAATTACCCCATGATGTAACCCCTAAAATGTTAAATGAAGTGTCTGACATAATCCTTTAAGGTTCTATATTAACATTTTCTTCTAGAGATGTCTATTGAACCTGTATGAACCTTTTTTTTCTCTGTTGAACACAAAATAATATATTTTGAAGAATGTTGGTAATCAAACTGTTTTCATGACCAATGACTTCCATTTGGACAAAAAAACAAAAAAAATTATAAACGTTTCTCAAAATATCTTCCTTGTGTTGCTCAGAAAAGAATAGTCATTTTTGGGTGAACTATCCCGCGTGGCTTTGATTTTGACAAAGGAAAAATATTGGCGGAAACCGAATCAGGACAGGAAATCCAAGGTGTTTTCATCTGAGAGGCCCAGGATAATGGGAAGGTGGCATCAAACCAATGCAAAACTATGAAGAGGGGGAAATGTTACATAAACCTTTCTGTTAGGCTGAAAAGAATAAAAACAAAATCATAAAACAATTGTTTGTCTGATGCTTGGACAATACTGAGCAAGACCACACCTTAGGTTATGGCGGAGTCACCGCTGTGGGTTGTAAAAAGTCCTACACTGTTTATTAAGAGTCTTCTGTGTGACCCTGCCTGTGGTCAGAGCATGTGACAGTGTGTCGGTCTGAGTGCTGGTTGTGTAAGTTAAATCTGTTAGCTCCAGTCCTGCACAGCACCTCATACTCCTGAATCGCCATCATCTCAATGCAACTGTCATGAACAATGAGTGGAAATAGCATTAGATGAATAGAATAATCTTTTTTATACTTCTTCCAACTTTGTCTTCTCAAACTGTTTTTCCTAGTGAATAACAATTTAGCCATTATGGGCGATAAATAAAGGCTGATTTTGGCAGCATGACTTACAGTATTTATAAGATTAGATAGGCAAAAACATGGCTTAGTTTGACATGCACGACTGTTAATGCTCAATGGCACCAATGTTTACAAACACAGTTCATTTACAGTATTCAAGGCCAATAATGAAAATGCTTCTATTTTCTATTAAATACAAACCTTTTAATTACATTACTTGAAGAGTAAAAATTGAATTGGAAATTAAAATGAAAATCAGAATGTCTCAGTATTTTGTTGTTTATTTGCAGGTGATAAATATATATATTTATATATATATATATATAAAAAAAAAAGTTTTGATGTGGTCTCAGACATTTGGACCTCTGTATGTGCATCAAGCTATTCACCAAAGACACTAAACATGCAGTAACAGACACTTTTTATTTGTGTTTATAGGTCTTCTATTGGCACTGACAGAGAACATCATGATGGTGACGACCTGCGATGTTGGACTTGAAAGGAAAAGTGGAGATTGCAAAGGTATGGATAAAAAGACTAACATATGATATACAACTCTTTTTCAAGAGCTTTAAGCAATATCAGGGCTCAACAGGATTTTACTTGGATTATACGTCTACATTTATACTGGCCCCACAAAAAAATTATAATAAAGTTTTGTTGATATAGTTTTATATTATATAAATAATTATGTTATAAAAAATAACTACAAATTATATTGAGGATAGGACACATTTATGAACTGAATCTGCATGCACTCATTAATAAACTGTAACCAAAAATAAAGAAAAAGTTCTGTGGTTATTCATACATTTTCTGTCATTATATAGATACAGATGAGTGTGAGACTCAGCCGCCCGTCTGTGGAGACAATGCAAATTGCTTCAATACACATGGAAGTTACTACTGTCATTGTAACGTAGGGTTCACACCAACTCACAATTTCACAGGAGCGGATGGAATCAAATGCCAAGGTAAAGAGAGCTTGATATGATGCATCTCATATGACCTCTGTGTAGCAGAAACAACATCTGAATCTCTGTTCATCTCATTTCAGACATCAATGAATGTGCGGCTGGAAGTGCTGTGTGTGGTCCTAATGCAGAATGTATCAATACTGAAGGAAGTTATTCATGCACATGTAAAACTGGCTACATTTCCAGCAATGGGAAAGAGATCTTTATTGCAGAACAAATTGTTCAGTGTATTGGTAAGAAAGTATTAGAGCTATAGACATTTTCTGGCCATCTATTGTGCAACATTGCTTTGGTCTAATGTGAGAGTTTTCATGTAACATGTTGTTGTTTATTGTCTGTCCCGGAATAACAGACGGAAATGAATGCGACGATCCCAGTGTTTGTGGAATATATGCAACATGTCATAACACCCCCGGTTCATATTACTGCATCTGTGCTGAGGGCTTCACACTGAAGTCAGGAGAAACTAATTTCACTGATTTTAATGAAAACTGCATGAGTAGGTCCTTTAAAACTGTAAAGTCCAAGTCTCGACACATTGAAATGTCAGATTATTTTTGAGAAATTTCAGATCCTTCTCTCTAACATGTTGTTTCCATGTTGTTAAAGGTGTGTGTGACATTGATACATCTATCTGTGGAGGAGGAACCTGCACAAACAGCAAAGACGGCCAAGAGTGTGCGTGTAAGTCATTCACCAACTATGGACACAAACAAATGAAATGCACAGGTTAGTGTTCTGTTAAGATCTGATCCTTTTGGTTTCCGAAATATTTCTAAATGTCATGCTTTCCAAACATTCATAGCACACAACGGCTGAGTTTGCACCATTAATGCAAAATATTATGTAAAAATGTTACTGTAAAAAGTAGTAACCTGCTGTAGCAACATCGAGATGTGCCTTAATTAGCTCAAATTATTTATAGGGAATTTTAATAATTAATCATGAAATATGATTAATATATTTGCATATTACAGTTATATTATCGAAATTGAAAACAGATCGATCGTATGTATGAATGGTACAGATCGATTATATGAGATAACTTTAAGGGAATTAATTTAGTTATCAAACAATCGGTTTGTCCAGCAAACAGCCGTAAGATTAACTTACCAACTTCTCAACAAAGTTATCCCTTTTTATAAACTCCAAGAAATCTCAATGTTCCGGCCGTGAACATTAATTTTCTCGTGTTTATAAAATTTACGTTACTGGAATAGTAACAACTTGTAAAGCTTTGTAGCTATGAGATCATCATTTCATTGACTTGTAAATGAGCACTTCAGGATCAATCAAGAATATGGTTTTAATAATTGAAACTACGGATACAGAATTCTACATTTGAACACAGGATACATGTATGTACAGTTAAACAGTAAAACTAATGAGACGGACGAATAACAAACAGGAGTGAGAGAGAGAGAGGTTGCGAGAGAGAAAGATTGGAAGAGAGAGAGAGAGAGAGAGAGAGAGAGAGAGAGAGAGAGAGAGAGAGAGAGAGAGAGAGAGAGAGAGAGAGAGAGTAAGAAGATGAGAGATCTTCTGGTTTGAAAGAGACCGAAAGAGACTTTAGTAAATTAGAATCTAGTTAATTTACTCCACATACCAGAGCTGGCTAGATTACCTATCTGATTATCACTACACTGCAATTGATACATTAAATAGCTATTTCTTCCTGATTTAACCCTAATTTAACTTTTTCTGGTATACATTGGGTTGATTCAGTGATATTAAATAATATTTTTGACTTCAATAAAGAGCTGTTGGTCTGAATATCAGTTGTGATCACAGCTGCACTGTTTCTTCTGCGATGCTGCTTAGTTATATCATTTTTTATTTCAGAGCTTAAGTGTAACACATTAATAAGTGAGAGGAAAACATCCCAAGTACAGCACAACTTGACTAGATTACTGATACAGAATATTTCCCAAAGGTGTTATTTGCGAGTAGTTCACAACGGTCACACTGCTACCATAACAGCTCAGCAACAGATGCTGATTGTAAAACGATTACTCATTTCTAATTGATTAGCCATTCTTGGGCATACTATTCTAACTTTAATTTCATTCAAACTAAATTCACGGACACACTATTGTTCTAGTATATGAATATTAAACAGCTCACAGGTACAGATATACTAAATCCCCCACACTGCCACGTCCATTGTTCCCCCGCAGAATTGAGCTACTTTTAAACTGTTACCGCAGGACTGAGATGCTTGGAATTACTGAAATTATACTGAAATATGTTATATTCTGCCTATGAAACTCTGCTCAATGTTAAGTTTAGTGATCAATGCAATATAGTGGTTTTCATTTTGCATGACAGTGACTGTAAAATATGTATTATAGGTTTAGGAATAGCATATTTTGAGTTTTTATATTAGGGGTCATTTGGCTACTTTTGGGCTATTTTTGTTACGCAGACCTGGCAACCCTAGAAAAGTTATGCAATACTTGTGGTGTCGTTTCTGTTAACCAAGCAGGTTTCACTACTTTTTGCTTTTATTTTTACTTCCATAAATTTGTAATTATTAAAGCCAGTACCATTATTACATGAAAGAAACAACATCTGAATCTCTGTTCATCTTATTTCAGACATCAATGAATGTGCGGATGGAAGTGCTGTGTGTGGTCCTAATGCAGAATGTGTCAATTCTGAAGGAAGTTATTCATGCACATGTGAACCTGGCTACATTTCCAGCAATGGGCAAGAGATCTTTATTGCAGAACAAGGAGTTCAGTGTATTGGTAAGAAAGTATTAGAGCTATAGACATTGTCTGGCCATGTGAGAGTTTTCAGATGTTTCGGTTGTTCGGATGACGTTTCAGATGAACGTAAGTTCTAGAAACTCATTTAGCGTTTCATATTGTAGATTAAGTCTTTATGTTCTAACAGTCTGTGTCTTCACCCATCAATCATTATTTGGTCAGTATCAGTGGTGTAGTCTAGTTTTTTGTAGTGAGTATACTGTGATATACCAGCCCAACCCCCCCCCCCCCCCCCTCCTCCCCCGCCCCGCTGCCGCCGCCGCCGCCACAACCCAATTTTCTACTGTTTAGTGTTAATCGCCATCTAACTCAGCCAGTAAAGAGCTACATTTAGCCTTAGATGTTAAATGAATATGGTTCCTGAAGCACAGGTTTTATCAGCTGACAATTAAAAGACTTAAACATTATAAGCACAAATAAAAATTTACTTTTTAAAAACGTGTGTGATATTCCTTTAAAATTATGTTTTAATAGATTTGATTATTATTATTTTAAAAAGTACATCTTACTACGCAATTTCTTTCATAATTCCCTCGAGTTACTTTATTTCTCTCTACAAACTTTTATTTTGGTGGGTTGTAAATTAAAGACATTTGAGCTTCTGTGTGTTTTAATAAACTATTATTATTATTATTATTATTAGGCCTACTTGAAGTATACTCTACTGTGCAATAGTAATATATTTCTGTTATATTTTCATCAAGTTATACAAAACTTTGATTTTGACAGGTTGTCATGAAGACTAGTTTGTGAGTGTGTGTATATGATACGAATGAATGACGATAGTTTTAATCAAATGAAATGGTAAAATTCTTGTGATGTGACTCTCATAAAAGCTCTGCGATAAAGTTCAAATGTGTGCATGTCCTCCTCATAGACGCTGAAAACACAACGCGTCAAGCCTTGTTTATACTCGACGCGTCCGCAAGAGCGCGAGTCTCCGCTGACTGCGCGCGGACCTCTCCAAACGGACGAGGCGTTTATACTTGACGCGCTCGCTGTTGTGCTATTCTGTGAAACAACAGGGGGCGACTCGGAGTAATTCTCCTCTAAACCCCCAGGAATCAGCAGTGAAGAAGTAGTTTATTAATAGCTGATTCATATTAAAACAGTAATAAATGCAGTAGGTGTATTGTACTTTCTTGTACAAACTCGTTAAACAACTGAAGCCTTATTGAAGAGTGTTTAAACCTTAATTTCATCAGCAGGGCTTACTTCTGCTATTGTAGGCTTATTTTATAAATGTAAGCAGTTACTTTAGACAAGTGCAAACTGGGTGCTTAATGCAAATGTGTTCCTATTCACAAAATGAGAGGCTTTTATGGTCGCCCATCAATGCAAATGTCTCTGTGTATAGAAGGATCATAAACATGCTGGTACAGACGTACCAGTTCGGCCTGATTCGGCTCGAAGTCGTTCATCTTCGGATGCGGCGCCGCGCGCGATGTTACAAAAAGTGCCGTGCACACCGCCAGGCGAAATGGGGTCTTGCGCACCCAACGAGATATATCCAGCTGCAGACCCGCAGCACCACCAGTTTCAGAACCCCAGCGCCAGAACCCCAGTGCCAGAACCGGAAGTGAGGGAGGGGCGGAATTATTGACAATGACACAAGCATGGTTATTTTTGCAAGTAGGCCTATTTAAAAATATTTAAAATTGTTGCATCTTTTAAATAATATTTAGGGTATGTTTATATTACACAGTGAGTCTATATGAATACCAGACTTACATTTCACTGCTCGTTGTATGAACTATAACTGGTATGTGACAAATAAAGTGCAAGACAGCGCTCGTGTTGTTTGAAGACGTGAGAGTGCGCGCGCGCGGCCAGGGCTCTCTCTCTCTCTCTCTCTCTCTCTCTCTCTCTCTCTGCTCGTTAAGCGCCCTGTCATGCGCAGCAGTCATTCTATTCTACATCACTCACCGATCAAAATAGGCTTTGGCGGGACACAAATTTGCTTTGGCGGCCGCCAAAAAGCGGACGATCTGACGGGTTTTAGAAGATTAAATACAACCTGAAACTAAAAAACAGACCCGACCTCTATTTGAGACCGGCCTTTATTGACCCAAACCTGCAGCCACACCAGGCGTGTAAAGAGACAATCGTCTATTTGGGACTCGGCTATTATTTGAAGTTTTACGGTACATTTTTATTGTTTCTTTTAAAACAATGCCGAATGTTCAAAGATTTTGGACATTATTTTACATAAAGAAAAATGCATGCTGCACATGTTCTTGTGAAATAAAGTATATTTTATATAAAATGCCCATTAGCATTATTTTTTTTACCATCATGACCAGGAAGTAACTCTCATAATACAATGAAACGGATAACTATATACAATTATATTACACAAAATCAATGTTTTAAAATGCTTATTGTACTATACCTTAATGTATCATTATAATACGTATAAAGTATGACGTTTCGTGTGTAATAATGCCGTTTCGTGTCTAAGCAAATTACGCTCCAAAACGTTAGGTGGCGTTACTCGGTTTAGAACGTAAGCTCCGCCCCTCACTTCCGGTCCTGGCGCTGGTGTTAGAACGTAAGCTCCGCCCCTACTTCCGGTTCTGGCGCTGGGGTTCTGAAACTGGTGGTGCTGCGGGTCTGCAGCTGGATAATATTGGCATGAAGGGCAATTTATTTTAGAAGCTTGCACACACACACACACACACACACACACACACACACACACACACACACACACACACACACACACACACACAAATCCATCATATCTAATGTATGTAATCAAGTGGTGGTAATAGATGTGGCTCAAAATTCCTGTCGGCGCCCCTGCCTCCTCGTAGTATAGTTTTTTTTTTTTTTTTTTTGGTAATTAAAACCAAAGGTGTTTATCAGTGATTGTATATCAACAGCAGGGACACGTTTGTGTGCATTTTGTTTAATGCACACAAACCAGCCAGTGCTGAAGCAGTCTCATATGAAGCAATTCAAGCAACGTGGTCGCGGCTGTGGATGCCATATGCTAGTCTGGCTCCGCTAGCTGGCTTACTGGTATATAAATCATTAAATGGCCTAGGACCTCAATACATTGCAGACATGCTCACTGAATATAAACACAATAGATCAATCAGATCATTAGGATCACATCAGCTAGAAATACCAGAGGTTCACTCTAAGCATGGAGAGTCTGCTTTTAGCTACTATGCCAGCCGCAGCTGGAACCAGCTTCCAGAGGAGACCAGATGTGCTCCTACAGTAGTCACATTCAAATCCAGACTCAAAACACATCTGTTTAGCTGTGCATTTAATGAATGAGCACTGTGCCACTGTTCGTCCGACTATTTGTACTGTATTTTATTTTTTATTCTAAACTGTTTTAATTATTCTTATCCCTTTTGATTATTTTAATTTCTTCTATGTAAAGCACTTTGAATTAACATTGTGTATGAAATGTGCTATATAAAAAAACTTGCCTTGCCGACACCTCGGTGTTGTTCAGGTACAGCAGTTTTTGTTAAAAATGTTGATGTTAGATAAACTAGCACTATTGTTTCTGACCATTAGGTGTTGCTGTCACCAAACCAATGAGGATTACAACCTTTTTTCTTCAACCCACCTTATTCCTACGCCCCATGACGCTTTGCGCGAATTATGGGTGTAACTTCTGTTAAGCTGTAAACAATCGGTGAAAGGCTCGCTCTATCAACGCAATACGTTAAAAAAGTGTCACAATGAGATGACATTAATCTACTCACCCTCCAACCATCGAACATTAAAAGGAAATTTACAAAAATGCTGTAAAAGCATTAACAAGGTACTTTCAACAGACCAAATGACCAATAAAATGGCTTACAACTTTATCTTACACTTTATGTATTAAACCTAAATTGCAAAACTGTTGATAACTTGGTTATGTTTTACCTGATGTTTTTCTTCTTGCACATTATTTCATGTATACGGGTCTATTGAAATCACTGTGCTTTGTGGTATACCAACCCGATCTCACGGCAATTCGTGCGGATTTTTACGAGGTGGCTAATTCTTTAGAATTCATACGACCTCACTCGTACAAATTTGTAATTTTTTTGCTAAATAGTACATATTTTACGAGTTGCCCAATTCGTATGAATTTGTACGAATGACCTACACCTGACCCCGCCCCTAAACCTACCCATCACGCGGGTTTAGACAAATCGTAAAAGTGAGGTCATACGAATTTGTACGAATTAGCAACCTTTTACTCACTCGTACGAATTGGTCGTGAGATAGCGTTGGTTATACATTAAAAAGCCCAGCAAAGTTCGGAATTCAGTTGAGCCTTGTAGTTGTAACAAGTTAAGAAAAGCAGGCGAAAGCAAGGATCTAAACATAGGGTTTTTAATAATGTAACACATTAAACAGATAACACAGAACTCAAGGAACAAATTAACAAAACCAAGAGGATCAGAGAAACAGAAGCAACCATGAAACACAAGGGCTATAAATACACAGGGGCAAACAAGCTTCACAAGATAATGAGGAAACAAGAAAAACTTCAAAGAACTACAAACCATGGCACAAGACAGGAAATAACAAAAGTCCTATAAAAAAAGGTGTCTATCATATGCATAAATAATGTAATGTGAAATCCACTGACATACAGAGAAAGAATACATACAGCTAGGGCTGGACTGGGTCAAAAAATCGGCCCGGGCATTTTGGCCCAGACTGGCCCACTACATATGATCATAAACACAACTTTGCACGCTCTTGAATATGTATACCAACTCCTATTAAAACCACTAACGCCATGTAATAAGTGAATAGAAGTGAGTAAGAGTTAACAGATGAAATAACTACTAAGTTAAACTATACTCCACAGTAATCCTTAAACAAGCTATAAGCTGCATTGGGTTCGCAATATCAATTTTTCCCATAGGATTTTGGGAAATCTGTGGTGAGTACACCTGTGTCCTTCTAGGGGGGTTCGGGGACATGCTCCCCCGTAAGAAAATTGTGTGCTTTTT